TCAAATACATCATTTAGAAATAAGTCCACATTTACCACTATCAGTTTTACCACCCTGGATTTTACCAACAGCAACAGTAGACATGACACTATTGGAAAGGAAAAAGGACAGGACATACATCATAGATTCACACACAGTACAGACTTATATAAACAATTATTACCAGTACATTCAAATATATACAGATGCATCAAAAACAAATGAAAAAATAGGAATAGCTTTTATAGTACCGGAATTTCAAATAAAAATAGGAAAACGAATCACCAACGACTTATCCGTATATACAGGAGAGATGTTAGCAGTTTTATTGGCAGTGCAGTGGGTGGAGGAAGTAAAACCATTAAAAACAATAATCTGTTCGGATTCAAGTTCCACACTACTCAGTTTAAAGCACAATCATACAGACAGTAGGCCAGACATTTTATTAGAAATATACCACACATTATTCAGAACACAAAGGATGGGTTTAACAGTGACATTTTTATGGGTACCAGCGCACATTGGGATTGAAGGAAACGAGATGGCAGATAAGATGGCAAAGAAGGCAACTCAGAATCACATTGACTTTACAGTAAATATAAGCAAATCAGAGGTAAAAAGTATCATCAAACAAAAACTGAAGAAAGAATGGCAGAAAAGATGGGATGAAGAAAAAAAAGGAAGATGGTTTTATAGGATCAAAAAGACAGTAGGAGAAACAAGAACTGGAAGAAGGAGCAGAAAGGAAGAAAGATTAATAACAAGATTGAGATTTGGACATACGGGACTGAATTATTCATTATTTCAAATAAAGAAACACAATACAGGAAAATGTGAGCACTGTGGACAAGATGAAACTATTCAACATGTGATACTGGAATGTCAGAAATATGCAGCAGAACGAAGGTTTATGAAGAGACAGTTTGAAAAGATAAAAGAAAAACTTAATATAATAGATGCACTACAACACAACTTGGAGAGCAAACATATACAAATTATAATTAGATATTTTAAGAAAACAAAGTTGATTAATAGAATTTGAGATATATATAGTTTACTCACACATACACATAGAATTAGCCCATGATGAACCACACTCCATACCAGTGGTGGCGGTAATGCACACCTACAGTTTTTTGCCAACCGCCATTAAACTCATCAAGAAGAAGAAGAAGAGGAGCAGAAACATGACATGATGGGGCTGTGAGTGTGAGACAGGGGCTGATGGGGGGTCAGCGGGTGCCGCTGATCGTGACAGGAGGGGACATTTAGTGGATTGAGTATTCTCATCAAGTGGAACGACAACGCCGACTGAACTAATATTTCATGGTAAATGTGGAGGGATCCAAATATATATATATATATATATATATATATATATATATATATATATATATATATATATGTTTTTTTTTATGTGTGTGTGTGTGTGTGTGTGTGTGTGTGTGTGTGTGTGTGTGTGTGTGTGTGTGTGTGTGTGTGTGTGCGTGTGTGTGTGTGTGCCACAGTTTTATATATATTCTGCATGTGCTTTAAAACTATAACTAGTAAAATTGTATTGCTTTTTTTTCATATACCTGGGGTTTGAACCTAAATGGGATGTTTATCCCTGTTTTTTTTTTTATTTTTAGAGAGACTGAGGCCACTCTCAGGACAACTCCCTGGAGTTTTATCTCATCGTGTTGTGCTGCTTTTCCAGAAACACATGAATACTAACAAGTCATTGAATATCTGTTCTCCTGACCATTTTATGAACCACCATCTGGTTGTGGTGCAACAGCTGATGTGCTGCTGAGCTGACTCCATCAGAGTAACAAATCCAGCAAAAGCACGATTTGTCCACGGTGAAATAAAACAGGCAGCTCGAACAACACAATTTATTCATTGTCAGACAGATGGCTGAAAATGAATGAAGACTAAATGAAAAAATAAACTAATTCATAAGTAGAATTGATAAAAGTTATTTTCAAAATGTTTTTCACCACATTTTATTCTCTGTCATTTCCACCGTTGAACTCGATGTTACTGTTTGTTCTTTGCAAAAAACTGCCATAAAATGCCAGTGCTAACAAGCTAGCCAGATTGCTCATATACATCATTACTGCTGTGGACACAGAGAGCTAGCAATCACAGCAGGATGTGATGAGGGTTCATTTTCAACCACCACATCCTGGAGGACTCCAGCTGAGCTCAGCCTTCTCTCCTGGCAGTGAAGTCCTAACCAATGAGAAAGCACCTTCAAAACATGTTTTTGTCTGGAAACGTAAATTCAAAAGAATCTTAATGGATAATTATATTTTTGAGAAATAAAAAGTTTCTTGCTCAACTGCAAAGTCATTGAAAGTAAAGAAATTAGGGAAAAAAAACCTACACTGAAAATATATATTTTATATAAAATAAGTAGAAAATATGGACTTGCAACCTGTCCAGGGTGTACCCCGCCCCTCGCACAGTGATTGCTGGACATGGGCACCGGCGACCCCGTGAAAATGGAAGAAGCGGGTAAAAGATAATGGATGGATGATGGATAGATGGATGGATGGATGGATGGATGGATAAGTAGAAAATAATATAAAAACAATTGCTGGGTGTACATCTGATGAGCTTATTTAACACAGCTAAGCAGCTTTAGCAAACAAAAATATCTATATAGTTTTTCTAGATATTGTGGTAAAACTGCAAGCTCTATTCTAAAAACTTTACATTAACTATTGGATTCAACTGTGTCAGTCAGCAAAATATCTCATGAACCAGCTAATACATTTTAATGAAACGTTCAGAAATTCATTATTGGGTGTACATCTACAATTCTGTAATTTTAAGGATCAACTAAATTCAAGATGGCTGCCACAGCCAACTGATCCTATAAAAAATGTAAATGGCTTTACATTAATTAAGGCCTCCCTTAACATGGTTTCATCCTGAGGCTCAGGTGTCATGGCGAGCTATGGAGGAACAGACGCTAGCTTCTTTCGCTAACATTTTGCATTCTAATATTTCAGTACATCGATGCCGTGTAAGATTTGGTCCTATAATTTCGTATTTGCTATTTATATGGAGAAAGGTGGAGAAAGTAGTTGGTTGCTCTTCTGGATTTGGTCCACATTTTCCAATATTTAATAATGAAAAACTGTTGATTGGCGGTCTTCCTATTCGTTTTCCTACATGGGAAAGAAAAAATATTCACACGCTTGGTGACATCTGTGGGCGGCTGTGGCTGAGTGGTTAGAGCAGTCGTCCTCCAATGCGAGAGTTGGGGGTTCGAATCCACCAGCAGTCACATGTCGAAGTGTCCCTGGGCAAGACACTGAACCCCTCATAGCCTCTGATGTGTGTCCCATCAGTGTTTGAATGTGAACTAAAGCTCTGATTAGTCTCTTTAGAATGATTTGTTCAATTAGCTTTGTAGAGATCTAGTAGTGTTGTATGAATGGGTAAATGAGGACACAGATTGTAGGGTAAAGCGCTTTGAGTGTCTTGAAATAAGATAGAAAGGCGCTATACAAGTATAGTCCATTTACCATTTACATCTATGGGGAGGATGGGTTACTTACTTTTCAGGATATATGTAATAAGTTTGACATACCAGTCACCTCCCTTTAATTTGCAATTAAGATCATCTTTAAAAGATAGTGGTGTCCCCATGCAGGACCCTCTAACAATACATCCACTTCACAAACTGTTATATTTGGCTAAATGTACAACTGGTTTTGTTTCCAGACTTTATCAGTTATTGCTACAACACACATACAGACCTCTGGCATTAGATTCGATATGGAGGAGAAACATTCCAGACTTAGAACCATCATTTTATTGGGATGAACTGTGGGCTAATGTGAGCCTGGCATCTAGAAATCCTGATCATCAACAAATACATTACAATTTTATACATAGGGTATATTTAACTCCTGGAAAACTCCATTTGATGAAGGTTATTAGCGATCCTATCCTACTCTCTGCTCCTCCAGAGATAATGGAAGTTTCTTTCATATGTTTTGGGAATGTACACCAGTGTCTAAATTTTGGAAGATGGTTACTTTTAATTTATCTAAGATATTTAAGATTAAATTGCTTTGCTCACCTGTTATTTTGAACGATCTGTCAAAACTGGAACTGACACTGGATGTGAGAAGAGCATTGCTGGCAGGTCTTACGGCTGCGAAAAAAACTAGTTGCAAAATGTTGGAAACCCCCACATTCACTTTCTTTCCAAGCATGGATTATGACTTATTTGGACATTGTTTATCTGGAACTGTCAATAGCCAGAGTTCACGGAGCCAAAGAATCGTCAGTGAACACATGGAGTTCGCTTCTAGCGATTCTCCGTGCATATCAGGTGTAATATATAAAGGAGTATTGAATCGCTTGGATCCAGGGAGTGGGTGGGTCTTATTTTGGGTTTTGATTCTATGTTTTCTTCTTTTTTTTTTGTTGTGTTTTTTTTTTTTATTAATGTATTATTATATAAGCTTATGTACAGGTATGTGAATTCGGGTTTAAGACTTTTTTTTTAACCTCCTTTTTTTTAACCTCCTTTTTTTTTGTACGGTACAAATGGTTACCTGTATTTCACACTGAAAAAGAAAATAAAAATTTGATCACAAAAAAAAAAAAGTAAATGGCTGTAGCGCTGTCAATTTTACAGATATCTTGATCAAATTAAATGTGGTTGTAGCTGTGAGTCATCCTCAGTACACATTTCAAACTCTCACAAATCTTACAAGACCTTGCAATATTGCACAGAATTGTACAAAACATAATTTATAAGCTTTGACCGAAACAGCTACAACTCCATCCCCTCCCTTCTTAAAATGATCTTAGCTTGAAACTGTAACATTTAAGACAACAAAGTCCATGCTCAATAATCCAGGTATACAATCCAACATTTTTCAGTCAGGTCATCTGGACAGTTTCTTTTTTTGGTGCTGAAACGTAACATTTAAGGATTTAACTTACATTCCATGTCTACAGTTACTAATATTGACTCTGTGACCCAGTGGAATCTGGTATTTCTTTCTTAGGGTCATGACTGCTGCCCCTACCAGTTCACCTATAAGGGTCCTGGAGCTCTGGAGTTTGCCAAGAAGCTGGATATTCCCAAGCAAACGTCCAAGAGCAGCATGTCAGCGATGCAGCACTTCCGCAACCTGGACAAAAAGGCCACAGAGGAGGACAACAACGAGATGGACACCCTTCATCAGAACAGCATCACGTAAGATGCACTTCCTCTCTCTGCTTTATGATGCTCTAACTGGAAAAAATGACTAAATCATCTCTAATCATTCATCCTACATCATTTGTTGTCCTCACTCTGCAGCTAACAATCACATGAAAACAAAGGTTTAAAAAGAAACGTGAAACGCTAACTTAGTTTAGAAATCCCAACATTAAAAGGAAAATCGTTGTGTGAATCTTTGTAATGCAGTAACTGTTAAGTGTAAAAGCTAAATGTTATTTACTATAAACTTTTACAGATAGTTTTATTATTGTTGTTGTTATAAGCATTGCTGCTATGCTCTACAGGCAGCTGTGTGTTGTGTCAGGGGGAAAAGCCAAAGTGGAAATGTTCAGTAGTGTTGGTCTGGATGGAGCCATGGTGATCTGGACCTTTAAGGTACTCATGTCAGATTACGTTTCAAATTGTGGGCTGGTTGATTTGTACTTTTTACCATTTCATGCCTCCACCTTGTACTTAATGGTTGTTGGTTTATACTCATGTCTATCATTATGTATTTGTGTATTTCTGTAAGAGTGTTGCTGTAGCTCTGTCTTTCAGTACCACAGTCTTGTGGCTTGAGGCTTTGGGTTTGAGTCCAGGTTGCGTCAGGAAGGGCATTTGGCATAAAACAACTAATAAATCTTCTATGGGGAGTTCACTCGCTGAGGCAATCCCTGAAAAAGGGAGAAGTAGGGGAAAAAAGTAAAAACTTGTATGTTACTGTAGCTTTGTGGGTGTGAGTAAAGGAAACCATTTATGTTAAATGATAAAAACACTACTTCAACCCCCCCACCTCCAACCTGACTTTAGAGCAGTGCTTCTCAATTATTTTCTTTTACGCACCCCCCCCCCAAGAAGATGTAAACATTTTGTGCGCCCCCCCCCCAACTCTCGGCGGTGACTGTAAATAGTATCATTTGTCTATAAATTTGTCTGTAAATAGTATCATTTGTCTATAAAATTGTTATGAGTACACCTCTGCATAACATTGTGTCCTTATTAACATTAAAGAAAAAAAAGAATATAGATCAACTTACAACAAAGAATAACTTTATTAACATTGTTTTTTAGTCTGTAACAGAAACAAAATAAAGTGCATCAATTTGCCTGAAAAAAAACTTAAATCCTTTATTTTTCAACTGTAAACATTTTTTACCATTTGATACTGAAAAATAAAATATAATCAATAAATAATAATAAATTCAAATTGATCAGCAACATTTTAACTCAGGAGTGTTGTATAAAACACTTTGACCTAAAAAAACAATAATGAATAAAACAATTTGTCCATCCATCCATCCATAATCTTTTACCCGCTTCTTCCATTTTGGGTCACGGGAGTCACCGGTGCCCATGTCCAGCAATCACAGTGCGAGGGGCGGGGGACACCCTGGACACGTCTCCAGTCCATCACAGGGCCACATAGAGACAAATGGGACAAACAACCATTCACTCTCTCACTCACACCTAGGGACAATTTAGAGTTACCAATCAGTTTAACATGCATGTTTTTGGTCTGTGGGAGGAAACCGGAGTACCCGGAGAAAACCCGTGCATGCACAGAGAGAACATGCAAACTCCACCCAGGAAGCCCCCCGGACCGGGATTTGAACCGGGGACCTGCTCGCTGAGAGGCGGCAGCTCTACCAGTTGTGCCACCGTGCTGCCCATAACCATTCATTAAAGACAAATAAAGCAGATCCAAAATGTGGACATCAATTAAAGGAAATACCTCTTTGAACAGCCTAGTTGGGATGGGATCTAGCAGACATGTGGATGGTTTGGATAAAGCTATTATTTTTACAATTCAGAGAGCTCAACAGAACAAAAACAGTCCAAACATAAATCAGGTTCTAGTGACATTTTTTAAGTTTTCTCATCTGACAGGGAACCAGAGACGATAGTTGGAAGAATGGTTTGAATTTTCTCTCTAATTGAAATAATATTATTTATAAAGAATCTCATGAAGTCATCACTGCTTATAGTTGTAGGGATATATGAATCAGCAGAGATAGGGCTTTTTATTAATTTAGCTATAGTACTGAACAGAAACCTAGGGTTATCTTCAACATAACATAGTGTTCATTCAGACTGTGCTATTTGTTAACCCAACAAGAGCCTGTGGTTTATTGTTTTTCAGGCGTATAAAACAACTAAACAGTGGCCAACTTTTGTTTTATAAGACAAAAAAGCAATAAACAACAGGCTATTGTTTGCCTAGCAGTTGGCCTGGCCTAGAAGAGGACTTCTGACATTTTCTTCATCTTTTAACTGACTGATGTCATGACTGATAAAGTCCTAACTACTGATAATAGCCAGTATACTACTTAAAAATGCCCTGAATATCCCTTTAAGTCAGTTTAACAGCTTTCCAGTGACTGTAGTGAAACTTCAGGTTATTAAAAACTAAACTGATCTCATCTGTTTTGCTCTCTCAGATCGTTTTGACGTTTGTTCTCTTGTTCTGCAGGTTTGAGTTCACATGGGACGTCGATTCTGGATGTTTGACCGAAACAAACCTACTGTGTTGTATAACCCGATCGTTTGGTAGTTTTATTGGTTTCCCTTGTTGTTGTTGTTATTCTTGAAAAAAAAAAACACCATCAGCAAAAATAAACCTGATTTTATAAAAATAAATACCAGTTAATGGATTTTTGATCTGAATTTTTCACATTTTCCTGCTGAATATTTGGAACACAGTAGAAGACAGTAAGTAAAGACAGCAGCAGAGTGAGGAAATGTGGTCAGTTTGTCCTCCAGCAGTCGAAGCCTATAGCAGCCTAACTAAGGGATAGCTCAGGAAACCCAAACCAACCCTAACTATAGGATTTATCAAAAAGGAAAGACTTAAGCCCAGACTTAAAACTGGATAATGTGTCAGCCTCACAGACAGAAACTGGAAGTTGGTTCCACAAGAGAGGAGCCTGATAACTGAAAGATCTGCCTCCCATTCTGATTTTGGAAACTCTAGGAACCACAAGTAAACCTGCAGGCTGACAGCAAAGTTCTCTGTTAGAAAAATATGGAACAATAAGATCAGTAATATAAGATGGAGCTAGGTTGTTGAGGGCTTTGTATGTTAGAAATAAGATTTTGAATTCAATACTTAATTTGACAGGGAGCCAGTGGAGAGAAGCTAAAACTGTATCTCTCCTATCAACTCTCATTAAAACTCTGGCAGCAGCATTTTGGACCAACTGAAGACTTTTTTTTTGTCATGTCTGCATGTTTTGTGATGTCTTTGTCTACTTATGATTATTTTATGTTGCTTTCTGAGTCTGTGCTCTATAAATAAAGTTGACTTATTTTTCCTGTTTTCATTTTCCCCAGTGTTTCGGTCCTAATTTAGTCAGCTCCAGTTCCTGCCTTTCTCACCTGTTCCTCATTGTCTTTCCCCAGGTGTTTGTCATTGTGTCTCTTTAGTGTCCCTTTAAGTTCAGCATCTCTGTGTTTCCACGTTATCCATAGATTGTGCTTCTCACAGCCTGTCACGTTCTGTTCTTCGTGTTATTCAATGGACTCAATTACTGCCAGCTTCAAACTACTTCATCAGTTCAATACTGGTTGCCTAGATTTAGCTAAGCTATCAGGTTTTTTTTATCATTTTGGCACTAATAAAAACAATTCTGAAGCTCAATATTTGGCTATTAGAGCTGCAATTTTTGTCCTGAGTCCCCAGTCTGACCCAACCTGAAATTCGGGCCGGGTTGGGCCAAAATAATGTGCTTGATGGGCGGGCCAGGTCAGTCTCTGGCTTTTGATGCGGTTTTACAAATCATGCAGCACAAAGAAAACTAAATAAGAATACATGATATAAAATTGTGTTAATCTACTTGTTGAGGAGGAGGCAGTAAGTTTGTATGTTGAGGATGATAAAGAAATAAAATAAAGGCAGAAGTTAATCAGACTGTGAAAAGAGAGAGTAGCACTGGGGCGTTGAGCAACAACTGTGCACGTGGCCCCACCCGCCCTTTGCTCTCATCACACATCTGAGGATTTGCAATTGATGCACAACAAGAGACATAATGGAGCTGGAAAGTATTAAACAAAAGCTAAAGATGGGAGATTTCACTCTACAAAGCCAGCACAGTGAAACCTGCTGATGTGTGTCAGATCAGGTGCACGCTCAGGTCCGACCGGCCGGTTGAAAGAGGTAAAAAATAGTCTTGAGCTTCAGATGGACAACAGGACCATCGGCTGCGCAGGTCTTCTGATCGGCAAGATGGATCACCAGCCAATCGTGTCCAGCTCCTCACCCTGCTGTCATCTGCAGTGAAGGAAGTATCTGAAGGTACAAAAACTGAAGGGAGCAGTACGTTCAATTAAAATAGCCTTGTTCTATAACTGATTTACTTACAAAAGCAATAAAAGCTTGAGTTAAACAAAAGTCTGTTTTTTGTTTTGTTTTGGGGGTTTTTCGGGTCCGGGCCTGTAGTTCCAGTTAATTGGTTGGGTCGGGTCGGCTCAGACAAAATGCCTACGGGCTCGGGCTGAATTTTTTAGGCCCGAATGCAACTCTACTGGAGATTATGGTCAGATGCTATATAATCATAGACAAAGCCAGGATTCTTAGCAATAACCTTGAATTCTGAGATTGTTTTCAGGAGAATTTTTGTAAGAAATGTTTTTAAGACTTTGAAGTGATGTACAGGTCCTTCTCAAAAAATTAGCATATTGTGATAAAGGTCATTATTTTCCATAATGTAATGATAAAAATGAAACTTTCATATATTTCAGATTCATTGTACACCAACTGAAATATTTTAGGTCTTTAATTGTTTTAATACTGATGATTATGGCATACAGCTCATGAAAACCCAAAATGCCTGTCCCAAAAAATTAGCATATTTCATCCCACCAATGACAGACAAGTGTTTTTAATACAAAAAACACCAACCTTCAAATAATCATGTTCAGTTATGCACTAAAATACTTGGTCGGGAATCCTTTTGCATGAATGACTGCTTCAATGCTGCGTGGCATGGAGGCAATCAGCCTGTGGCACCGCTGAGGTGTTATGGAGGCCCAGGATGCTTCGATAGCGGCCTTAAGCTCATCCAGAGTGTTGGGTCTTGCGTCTCTCAACTTTCTCTTCACAATATCCCACAGGTTCTCTATGGGGTTCAGGTCAGGAGAGTTGGCAGGCCATATGAGCACAGTAATACCATGATCAGTAAACCATTTACCAGTGGTTTTAGCACTGTGAGCAGGTACCAGGTCGTGCTGAAAAATGAAATCTTCATCTCCATAAAGCTTTTCAGCAGATGGAAGCATGAAGTGCTCCAAAATCTCCTGATAGCTAGCTGCATTGACCCTGCCCTTGATAAAACACAGTGGACCAACACCAGCAGATGACCTGGCACCCCAGTGACTGGAAACTTGACACTGGACCTCAAGCAATGTGAATTCTGTGTCTCCTCTCTTCCTCCAGACTCTGGGACCTTGATTTCCAAAGGAAATGCAAAATTTACTGTAATCAGAGAACATAACTTTGGACCACTCAGCAGCAGTCCCAGGCGAGATGCTTCTGACGCAGTCTCTTGTTCAAAAGTGGCTTGACCTGGGAATGCAGCACCTGTAGCCCATTTCCTGCACACACCTGTGCACGGTGGCTCTGGATGTTTCTACTCCAGACTCAGTCCACTGCTTCCGCAGGTCCCCCAAGGTCTGGAATCGGCCCTTCTCCACAGTCCTCCTCAGGGTCCGGTCACCTCTTCTCGTTGTGCAGCGTTTTCTGCCACACTTTTCCCTTCCCACAGATTTCCCACTGAGGTGCCTTGATACAGCACTCTGGGAACAGCCTATTCGTTCAGCAATTTCTTTCTGTGTCTTACCCTCTTGCTTGAGGGTGTCAATGATGGCCTTCTGGACAGCAGTCAGGTCGGCAGTCTTACCCATGATTGCGGTTTTGGGTAATGAACAAGGCTGGGAGTTTTTAAAAGCCTCAAGAATCTTTTGCAGGTGTTTAGAGTTACGTCGTTGATTCAGATGGTTAGGTTAATAGCTTGTTTAGAGAACCTTTTCATGATATGCTAATTTTTTGGGACAGGCATTTTGGGTTTTCATGAGCTGTGTAGTGAACTAGGCCTGAGGTCAAGTCCTGACCTTAAGGACCTTATGGGACAGAAACTGTCATTTCATTGATTTGAATCCAGAAATACAGGTTGACCCATCCTAAGACTTTCTTTCTTGAATTAATCAAGTGAAAGAAGACTACTTTCGATTATCATTACTATTTTACAAATGTTTGATAATCAAATTGTGTTAGTTCAAACAATGTTTAAATGTTGAAGTGAACTACTCATTTTTAAATCAACTGTGAAACAGTAATAACGATTTTTAATCCTCATTCAAAGTGGAAATCAAGTTGGAATATGTTACAGAGTAATGATTCAATTTCTTGATCGTCTGTTTGAAATGAGCAAGTTGTGTAAGTTGGTCAAAGTTCAAGTTTCGGTCAACTGCAAGTTTACTGAAAAAGAAATGTCATGTTTAACTTTTACAGCAAGATACTAGAGAATTGACTCCACGAAGTCTGAGTTCTTCATAATATCTTCTGTCTGTTCTTAAACAATCTTAATCTTTTTCCTTGACTTTTTAACAACACCTTACATCACAAAAACACACCTCTGTTGGTCCATCGACCAGTCAGAAAGTCCTCAAATGAACCGGAAGTGACCTTTTTTAAAAGGTGCAGCACTTCCTAGTTCACAGCAGTTCCAGAGTTCAGAAGGCTGGAATTCAGGATGCTGGAGGAAGAAAAATCAAGCTGAACGAGAGAAGATCAGGGAATTATGAAATGTCTGTTCTGGATGATCTCACGACTCCCGAGGTTTAGCTGTTCTTACGGAGACGCTGAAAGAGTTGAAAGGAGAGCTCTACACCAACGCTAAAACTATCATCTGCAAAGGTAAAAGAGTCGATGTCAACCAAAGCGTACCGTTGGGTCAAGCTGGTCTAGAAGGAGCGTGCTGTTTCTGGTTATAACAGACAAATTCCCTCCCCATCTCTCTCAACTTAAACTTCATTTCCCATCTTTAAAATTCTTCTATCCTGCTAGCAAATCATTCCAGATATTTTTCAGAAATGTCTGTGTGAAGCTGGAAGCAAGGTTTTCAGCCATCGCCGTATGGTCTTCCTTGTAAAACTTGCTAAATTAACCATGTTGTTGTTGAAATCATTTTGCCAAATTAATGTAAATGTGTGATGTGTTTAAATCGTTTTAAATAAATGACCCACTGTCGTTGGTGAGTCAAAGATAAACACGTTTCCGTCCACATTTTATTAAATTCAATGCACGTACATTATACAGTCCAGAAAAATGAAAGAATCCGTTTAATTTATGAATATATATCAGCATATGTTCATTCTACATCTGGTGGCCCGTAACGGGTTCATAAAATGGACTGTATTCGTGTGACAATTGAATTATCATGTTGGCATGAAAAAAGTGCAGATTCTGCGGAGTGAAACGCTGTTTTGAGCTGAGATGCTCAGAGAAAGCTTGCAGCTAGTGATGTTTTGAAAGCTGAAATAGTGTCAATGAGTCTTTATGAAAGCTGAAATTGTACGTCTGTGGTGTGTGACAAATTTGCTGAGCTGTGGAAACGTTATTCTGTTTGAACTGTGGTCCAGACGTGACTCTGGTCCGGCTCGGTTCTGATAAATTCGAACGAGTTGTTTTAAATGGTTGGAAAGACGTTTTGAGACCGGAGCGCCGCCTCCGTGCAGCTGGGAGCTGATTCGTTACATTTT